ATCAAGAATTACCAGGCCCACAAAGAAATAGGACCAAGAGAAAAAACAAGGCGATAGAAATAGACCCTCAGATGACTTCAAAATAACTGTAATTAATATGTTCAAGAAAATAGATGGCAAAAACCAGAATCTCACCAGAGACTAGGGGGGATAAAGAGCAAGTGGAACTTCTAGAATTTAAAAAAATGCAATAATTGAAATTCAGAATTCAATAAATAGGTTTAAGGCAGACTTGACACATTAAAAAGAGCAGCAGTGGGGCCGGCCCTGTGGCGTAGTGGTTAGGTTCGCCCGCTCTGCTTTGGTGGCCCGAGGTTCGCAGGTTCAGATCCCAAGTGCAGACCTACGCACCACTTGTGAAGCCATGCTGTGGTGGCATCCTACATATAAAGTAGAGGAAGATGGGCACAGATGTTAGCCTAGGGCCAGTCTTCCTCAGCAAAAAGAGGAGGATTGGCAACAGATGTTAGCTCAGGGCTAATCTTCCTCACAAAAAAAAAAAAGAGAGAGAGGATTAGTGACATGAAAGGTCAATAAAAAATCTCAGGCTACAGCATGAACATGAAAAAAAGTGATGACAACAGAAAAAAGATGATAGAGGCATGAGAGACACAGTAATACACACAACTGAAATTCCAGAGAAAAGACAAAACAGAGCAGAGTTTTATTTGGAGAAATAATAGCTAAGAAATTTCTAAAACTAACAAAAGGACATCAAACCCCAAGACATAAACCCCAAGCAGGAACAAAGAAAGGAAATTTACACCTAGGCACACCATAGACAATTTGCCAAAAAAAACAAAGACAAAGAGAAAATTTGAAAATCATATAGAGAAAAAAAGAAATTACCACAAAGGAGTAATAATAATACCAACAGCTAACTTCTCCAAGGAAAATAGATACCAAATGAGAATGTAAAGATCCCTGCAAAGAGCTGAAAGAAAGGTTTGCTATATTCTACAAATTTGAAGATGAAATAAAGATATTTCCAGACAATAAAAATAGAGAGAATTTGTAATTGGCAAAGCTACACTAAAAGAAATACTAAAGAAGTTCTTTAGTCAGAAGGAAAGTGATCTCAGAAAGAAACCATAAATCCATAAATCAGTAATGATACAGAAAATTTGAAAATGATTGACCAACTTAAACTTAATTGACAAATACAGAATACACCACAATTGACAGAATACACATTCTTTTCAAGTGCACATGGAAGGTTTACCAAAACAAATCATATACTGGGTCATAAGGCAAGTCTCAAAAAACTTTAGAGGATTTAGAGAATGTTCTCTAATCACAGAATTCAACAAGAAATTAATTATTAAAGAGGTAACTCGAAAATTACCAAGTGTTTGAAAATTAAGCAATACGTTTTTGAAATAACCTATGAGTTAAAGAAGAAATCAGAATGAAAATTAGAAAAATTTTGAAATAAATTATAATGAAAATACAACAGATCAAAACTTGTAGGATGTAGCTAAAGCTGTGTTTATAAAGAAACCAATACCTTAAATGCCTATATTAAGAAACAACACAAGCTGAAATGGTATTTCACTGCTCTTAGGATATAAGTAAAATCTCCAATATAGTTACAAAGTCCTGCACAGTCTGGCTTCTGCTGACTTGGAGCTTCATCCCTGTCTATCTCTTCTCATTCATTCCTTTCCAGCCACACTGGCCTTTCAATTTCTTGAATATGCTAAATCACTTCCTGCCCGGGGCCTTTGCACATGCTGATTCTTCTGTTTGAAATGCTCTTTCTCCTTCCTTCCTCAGGCCAACTTCTCATCCTGCAAGACTCTACTTAAATGTCTTTTTCTTAGAGAAAGAAGCCTTCACCGACATCCAAGTCTGGGTTAGGGTCCTCAGATGTGCTTGTTAATTCAAACTCTTTCTTTCACGGCTTATTACTGTAATCAGTCATTGTTTGGGCAATTGCTTTTTGTGCAATTAATTTTAAAATATTGCTTTGTCATCCCCCAATGCTGTAAGCTCCTTGCTGGCAGGAACTGAAGCCGTCTTGTTTATCACTATATCGCCAGTGCCTCCCATGGTGCCTGGCAAACAGCGGGCACTCTATACACAAGTGTTAAATGAGGGAATGAATGCATGGACATCTAGTGAACCATGTAAGTAACCATGCAGTTTACTCAAAGTCGTTAACAGATGCTTACTGTCTTGGAAGAAAACTCTCCAAAATTACTGCTGTCAGCAGTCGGCATTTATTTCTGTGGCATTTACAATGAAATTTACAATCATTTGCTAATCCAAAAATTCTCCCAGTCATGGATTCTGCCCCCCACTCTCAATGTTTTTTTTTTTTTAAAGATTTTATTTATTTATTTTTTCCCCCCCAAAGCCCCAGTAGATAGTTGTATGTCTAGTTGCACATCCTTCTAGTTGCTGTATGTGGGATGCGGCCTCAGCATGGCCGGAGAAGCGGTGCGTCGATGCGCGCCCGGGATCCGAACCCAGGCCGCCCGCAGCGGAGCGCACGCGCTTAACCGCTAAGCCACGGGGCCGGCCCTCAATGTTTAAGTAAAATAATTTCTAACTCTACACTGCTTCCTGTTTACTCTGTTTAGGAAAAGAAGATTTTTTTTAGTAAACTCTACTTATTTATTAAATCTGTTCCACGCTAAGCCAAGCTAAGTGCTGTAAAAGTGATTCAAATGACTGTCATTATTAACAGTCACACTAATACCAACAACAACTGTTCACATCCCGCGTCTGCTTTCTATGTGGAATCTCACTCAAAGCAGTAAAGGGGGCGTCATCTCTGTTTTGTAGATGAGGAAATCTGAGAGGCGAAGCGGCCTGCCCAAGGACATAGAACCAGGAAGCGGACAGCTGAGGTTGATTCCAGGTCTGCCTGACTTGAAGCCCAGGCAGGCTCTTTGCTCCATCGTGCTGCCCATCTTATTTTTCAGAGGGGGCCTTCGAGGGACAGCGAGGATGCAAAGACAAACAGTGAAGAACAGTGGCTCCAAAGCAGCGTAACCTAAGCTTGACCCCAGCCCAGCAGGTGACCAGGTGTGACCGTGGACACGGTACCTCTCTAGCCTCTGTTCTCCACCTGTGGAATGGAACCAACGATGGTAAATGAGAGGCTATAGTCGAGGCGCCTTGTGGAGCACCTACCATGTAGTAACATGTGGCAGTAATCATCAAGGGATGTTGCAAACAAACAAAAACCCTTCACTTCACTCGGATTAAAAATATACTCATATGCCATCTCCCCTTTGCCTTCAGAGGATACAAGGATTAGAATGGATATGACAGGCAAGTCAAATTCACTAAGCCAGGGATCAGGAGGCCAGGGTCCCCACTCTCAGGAGGGTGGGCCACATGGCAGGTGGCAAAATGCCGTGGTCACCGACAGTAAAGCTGTCTGGCTTCTCCCCAGAGCTTCTTTCCCTCAGCGGCTTGTTCCATGATCCAGGTAAAGAGGGAGAGGGGCTGTGGACCCATCATCACTGCTCCACAGACTGTTCCAGAGGGGTGGGCAGGGCGAGGGGCCGCACTGCAGTTTTGCCCATTGCCAGGGATCAAGTTATGGGGTGGCTGTCACTCTGGCCCCTGGGATGTGACTGCTTCCCAGCCTCTCCCTCTCACTGACTGTGCTTCTGAATATATCTCAGCCCTGATGAGCCAGATGGGCCCTCGCCTGTGAGGGCAGGGGTGTCTGCATGTGGGGTGGCACACACACCCTGCAAGGGCAGCTGGAACGTTCCATTTCTGGAGTCCACACAGCCCACAGAGCCCACTCACACCCAGGCCCTGTGGGATCCCAACGGGCACACGCAAAACCTTCCCTTATCTCCACCAGCATGCTGGACTGTTCTTTCTCCAAGTTTCCTGTTACTGCTTCAGGACTTGGAATCTCAAGATAAGCATCTTCTCTTCCCCAAACCTACTCTTCAGTCAGTCCTCCCACAACCCAGCGGGACCTCCCCTGTGTCAGGTGTCCACACCACGCCCTGGGTCTGTACTAACAGCCATCAGCCCCATACCCTTCCTGCTCCTCACACGGTTTCCGTCAGCAACTGTGTTTACTAGCAATTTGTTATCTCCTAGTCACCTACACCTCCTCTGACGTTTCCTTCTTGTGGCACCCCATCCAAGCCCTCACCATTCTGCACTGTGACTGGTTTGCCTGGGGATGGGGAGTCACCTCGATTCACCCTTGGGAGGGAGAGACCCTCAAGAGAGAGGAAGGGACTTGGTCAGAGCCCCCTGACTAATCTGTGAAGGTCTCCTGGTTCCACAGAGACCATCTTCACACAAGGACCCAGAGCACAAGGCCCGGCCCTCCCTTCCCCAGAGGATCCCCTAAGACCTTCCCGAGACCTGCACCCTGAACTAAGCAGAAATGCTCTGTAATGAACACACTGCATGCACCTCCCGTTGCTTGATGTTCACGCACCTCCTTGTGTCTTGATGTCAGAGGCCTCCCCTGACAGCACAAGAGCACGACAGACAGGGGACAGAATGCTGGCAGTTGCACTGTGCAACCTGAGCAAGCCGTCAGTGTCCCTGAGTCCCAGTCCTTCGGAGAGTAAGACAGGGGCCACCCCGAGTGTCAGCATGCAAGAGGCACGTGGCTCACGGCCGGGCAGATGAAGGTGCCCACAGGGAACGGGCTGCTCTAAAAACCACCTCCACAAATGGGGGGGCCAGCAGCACCTCTTCCTTGACTCCCTCGGGGGCCTAATGACCAGCTCCTGGTCCAGCTCAGGACACTGGGCCTGAAATAACTCTGCCAGTCTGTGCAGCCCCACTCCCACTGCCAGGGAGCCAGCGATGAGCTGAGTGCTCATCTGGCTAATTACAGAGGACCAATGGCTGCCTCAGACCCAGGTGAGAAAACCGAGTAACAGATGGCCGTCTGTGTTATTAGACAAATTTGAAATGAGGCAGGTGATGGCAGGTTTCAAGCCACATCGGGAATTTTCACAAATACAGGCTAAGTTTAGGAAGAATAATAAACAAATTCTTACCTTATCATGCCCTCCATTTTTGAAGCTGCCTCATGGAATTGCTGTGAAGACAGTTTATAGATCTCAGAATTCTACAAAGAGAAAAACAGACCTGGTTACCAAAGATTGAAATTTTCCTCTGGCTCCCTCATGGGATGCAATCATGTTAGAAATCGACAGATGCTAATTTCTCGACTAGCATCAAAGCAGACTGATGTTTGATCCACAACTTGGGTCTAGCGCCCATCGTGGACTGAGTCCGAGAGGAACAAAGGCTGGAAAGACACATGGGTCCTGTGGTTCAGGGGTCAGCAACCCACCACCATGAGCAAAACCTGGCCTGCCACCCGATTTTGTAAACAAAGTTTTACTGGAACACACAGCCACACTCATGATTTATTTACACATTGTCCGTGGCTGCTTTTGTGCTATTACAGCAGAGATGAGCAGTTTCCAAAGAGACTATATGGCTTGCAGAGCCTTAAATATTTACTACCTTTAAAGAAAAAGTGTGCTGAGCCTTGATTTGGTCCAACCTCTATTTTATAGGTGGACTCTGCTGCCCAGAGAGGTGAAGCAACTTGCCCAAAGTCACACAGCAAGTGGCAGAGCTAGGTCTATAGCCCAGGTGTCTGATTCTGTCAGGTGTGTGCTCTGCTTCCTGCCACGACCACTGGATCCATCAGATGGTGACTGTCTGTCCAGAGCATGGAGGGTGGTTCCAAAAGCACATACTTCCATCCTTCCTGAGGCTACCTAGTACATGTGCACATACTGAGCCAGGCTGGTGTAGGGCACAGTCTGGGCTTGCAATAAGACAGAGCTGGGCTGAAGTCCTGGGGCCACTACAGTGTGACTGCGGGCAAGTTACCTCACTTCTTTGAACCTCAGAGGCAAGTCGCACCAGGCCACACGAGCCCAGAACACAGCATCCTCCACCTGTTTCCAGAGGATACCAATACAGACACATCTATAAATCCACCTGCCACCACGCCCCCGGCAGAGCACCACGAGGCTCACAAGTGGATGGACTGACTTCCTGCAAGAAGTGGTCTCAAGAATGAAAAACCCAGAGGACAGCTGGAGACAGGGCCAGCAGTGAGACCTCCCCAATGAGGGTGACAAGACAGCCACAGATGTCACATGGAGCCTACCGACCCCATGTAGGCCTAGGCCAAACCCTTCATAGAGCCTGGTGTGTACCCTAGATGGGCAAATGGAAGCTTCCGGCTTCAGGTGCCTTCCACAGGCACGGGTCAGTCAGGCCTTGCAAGAAGCTCCCGAGGGAAGTGAAGGGACCCCAAAGTCACGGAGCCATGCCCCTAGGCACACCCATCGGACTCTGAGCCTGGCTCCTCCCACTCCACCATGCACATAGATAGCCTGACCAAAAGGATCGAACCACTCCTTAGGTTGGAAAAGGTGACAGGTCCCAGATCAGAGCCATGCAGGGAAAGCGCCTTACCCTCATGGCTCCCCGTCATCCATCTGCAGGGATGGCAACCAGGGAGGGGCGGGGGGCACCTCCCCTGAGGACCCGCAGGGCACTGAAGGCAGAGTCCGCACGGGGACCAGGCCTTCACCCCTACCCTGGTACCACGGCCTCCTGGAAAAGCCAACGGGGAGGGACGGTGGATGGGTGTGCCCGAGGGGGTGGAGCAGGCACCGCAGGTGCAGGAATTCTGCTCTGGGCCCTGCC